ATTCAATTTTCAACCAAAAAAGCAATCCGTTTGAGAACGCTGCGCCCAAAAAACCTCATCGCACTCAGAAATGTCGAGAATGGGTTTTGCGTCAGGAAGTGATCCGAACTTCAGAATACGTAAGAGGTAAATCAGAGAGGTTAGAGATGGATCGTGTTTCCAAGCGAGGCAGGTTCCGCCGACAGCGCATTCTGATGGCAATACCACTAATGGCTGAAAACAAGCCCGCGGAACACGGGATTGCTCAAATTGATTTAAAATGTAATGTACAAAGTGAATATCAGCATTCTTTATGAGAATGTCACACTACATATTCTTAAAAAAACATATTTTCTAAAACAAATACACAGAATAGTATTCCTAAAATAGGGATAGTAAATTATAACGAAGCTAAAATAAAGTGTAGTTAATTCAAGTTTTCATGAGTGCGATGCCATGGATATTTTTATTGTAGATTCAGTGCGTGTTATCTAGATCTGCAGCCAGGGCTTTAATGAAAATATTCAACGGAAACCATCCTGTACCTTAAGCTTTTTAATGAAACTACTGATATACTTATACTTATTATTATTATTATTATTATTATTATTATTATTATTATTATTATTATTATTATTATTATTCACAACGCTTGTGTCAGAACTTTGCTGTTATTGATAAATTATATTTCGGAGGCTAGAGGTGCCTATTGCTTGAAAACAAGTACACAGGAACTACTTTTAGACTACTTTAGCTGGGGCCCTCTCTCAAAAAACTACCGGCTTTGCAGCGGGAGGTGGGTGCCAAAACAGGTCAGTGGCTTTGTCCAGTTCATTGTAAGGAGAGGTGCAACTTGTTTGGAGAATTTTCAAGTTTGAGATCACAAACCTTATATTTGTTGTAATAGAGCCTGTTTCACCACCTTTGATTATCTATCCACGTCCTTTCCGCTTTGACTTCTATTGTATTTTCTTTGCTTGTTATGAGTGGGGAGAGGGAGAACAAGCCGGTTTCAGGTTAAGTGGTCTAAAGGTGCGTATTTTTAGATGGATTCTGTCCGTTGGCATTTTTTCTCCTTGCTTCACTTCAAAGCTTACGAAGTAACAACCGGTATAACAATTTAGCCTAAATGAACGAAATTATGATAACATGACATAACGCAAAGTCGGAACGGAAAAAAGTGTTTCTCGTCAATTTGATTTTTTGCAATTTGCTCGTCAATTTTTGAGATAATAATAAAAATGTAATAGAGGATTTATGCTTTATAATCCCCCCAAAACCAAAATGCCTATTTTAAACTCTCAGGGCCTCGAATTCCTTCAAATTGATCGGGAAATATGAATTTTGTACAGTTTAGACGTTCAGCGTAGGCAGAAGTTTTACCGTCAAATCGGTCTTCGGTATCAAGCACCTATAAAACATGTACATTCTGAGTACATAATGAGTTCGAGGAAGTAATTTACTTCGTATAGTATGGATTAAGTGTTTATTTTTCTCCAGCGAATTAAGGATATTTTCAATACGAGGGCCTGGCAATAAGAATTTTTGTATCGAAAATTCTGCGCGGCACATTATTACAATACTTTCTCTTCTTACGAAGATCGGGAGAAAGAGAATACGAATTAGCGTCAAGAAATCTTGTTTATATTGTCCATATTACGCTACAATTAGTAGTGATATTTTCAAGAAAATGCAATTGACGTTAAATAAAGAACTATAAATATAAAATTTTATTTCAAGAAAAAAATCCTATTTTAATAATGTCGATGCAAGAGCTGGTTCAAACAATAAAACTTTTGTAGTTATCGAAAATTCAGGATTATCAGAGAAAATCTGACCTTTAAAATCTCATCTTTGTAATAAGTATACGAGTATGTTGGTCTATTCTCACAAGCAAATTAAAGAAAAAAAAATGGAGCCATTTTGGATATACTTTTGAAAATGTCTCAGAGATCTCATATCACGAACCTTCGAAATTTAAAGCATTCTTTACAAAATCGCAGGGCAGTCTTAATTTTCGAAAATTGTTCTAGTTAGTACTAACGCATAGAAGCATGTGCTGTTGTAGCACAAATTTTATTATGCTGTTAGGAGATCGAAAAAAATGTCTTTTAGACGCTGATGTAGTAGCTGGGAAGAGAGTGTGAGCAAAACCAAAAAGATTAGGAAACTAGAACGAGAAAATCTGTGCCATTCTGTAGCATCACTAGTTTTAATTTTAGGGGCGTCTTTATTTACGCTTTCTTCGTCTACTTAAGATGTTTAGAGAAATACTGTGGCAAAACATCACATTATTCGACAGAAACAATTATATTGTGAAACTCTTATTTTCGAAAATATGGATAAATTGTATTCCTATTTCTTTTAAATTACACCATCTATTAAGTTGTGTAGTCGGAATCCATGTTTCAAAGGTCCCTGATATCGGAAAACTGTATTACGGCAGAATGTCAGTCCGTCCTCCGTCTGTCTGTAAACAAAATTAGCGGCTAAACCAAGCAGAATTTTCAGAAACTTGAAATTCTCCAAAGGATCTAGATAATACCTAGGCCTCAAGAATTTGAAACGAGTACCTATTTTAATTTTAGGGAGCACTTTACATAAAGACGTAACATTTTCCAAATTTTCTCAAACATGGCTCATTTATTAAACATCGAATCAAAGGTAAAAAAAAAAGTTCATAAAAAACGGCGCAGTTCCAATTTTCAATGAACTCTCTGAATTTTCGGAAATTGCGAAAGTTACACTGTTTTTGGAGTCTTTCTACAACAATTAAAAAAGGAATAGAGATTTATTCTTAGTAAAATCTATTCGAAATTTTATCTTTAGGTAAAGTTTTGCACATTTTCTTAAATATGAATTTTCGCATTATATTGTTTAAATGGAATTTAAAATATGAAATGATATGAAAGACAGTTCTACCTTTCTTCCTAAATTCTTTGCTGGAATAGCTTGAAGTACCGGTAAAGATGGCGCGATTACGATTTTCGGTGAACTAACAATTTTGAAACAATGCAAGATACAAATGCGAAAAAAACTTGTGCTGTTGTAGCTCTAGTCATATTACATAGTTATCTCTACATTCTTGAAATCTTTTCACTTTTTATTTCAGGCTAACAATAAATTTTACGAACTGATGATCTTTCTGACCACATGTCTGTCACTGAAAAACAAGCAAAAATCTTCAAACTAGTGGTGCTTCAAGAGCACGTACTTTCTCGCAAAAGTTTTTCGAAATTTTATTCTTGACGTATTTCAAAATATATCTTTAAGGAACAGATTTCATTAAGGGAAAAAAATTTTATCTTCATAATTGTAGGCAGACGCCGAATTTGAATATTCTAAAATTCAGTTTCAATGAAAATGAGACCACCATCGTCATAAGCGTTCTTCACACTATCCAACAACAAAATTTAATAAAAAACAATGGAGCCATTTTTTACTTTCCCGTATACGTGCGTATATACGGAGTAATATACGTAGTATAGGGAAAGTATTGTGATACTGCGAAATATCGATTTCGCGCCTAAACCATGCTTAAGATGTTTTTTTTTTGTAATTGAAGAAACCTCAGTCCATCGTGCTCGAGTCGCAGCTTCGAGATTTTGAAAAACTTTATAATTTTGGGATTCTTACATTCTCTCTGGGACAACATTTTCGCAAAAACGGCTTCAGATTTTTTCTTTAAAATTCTAGTAAGAATAAGTAAAATACTCTCGTAAAGGTGGCATAGGTCTGATTTTCATTGTTAACACTGAATTTTCAAAAATTGCAAAACTTTGAATTTTTTCGGCGTGCCACAAAGGTAGAGATTGTTCCTTCAAATGAAATTTGTTGTTCATAATTAGTTCTTTCATTAAAGTCACGTACATTTTTTTGAAACTTTTGGTCGTTTTCGCGCAAAATTTGCAATTTTAAGGAATTCCAAAAACACGATTTTCTCAAGAACGGCTCCAAATATTTTCTTTAAACTTTCTTTAGGGATAATGGTAAATTTACTCTGTAAGATGACAAACAACAAATTGCTCTCCTCTTTTGTTTTTCCAAAAATGTTAATTTCTTGACGTATCAGGTCGTTAATATTTATATTAGCGACAATTTGTTTATATTTTTATAATTATGAGTACATGTGCTTTAAATAATGTTGTATATATTTCTCGAAAGCTCACCCTTTTCTCAGCTCAGCTCAAAATTCGCAATTTTTCAAAAGGCTCAAACTCGATTTTCTCAAAAACTGCAAATTTTTTCTTCAAACTTTTCGAATGAATAGTGCTAATTGCACTCTTTAATTTGACGTTGCCTCCTTTGGGGTGTTTTTCAATAATTACAAAAGTGTAATGTTTTCGAAAGATGTCTCACGTGGTTAATATCCACATTTCCAGCAATTTGTAAACACCATTGTATTAGTGAGTTAAATTACTTGAAATGACATTCAAAGAAGTTTTTGAAAATTTTCTGTGAAAAAGAACTTAAAATTTTAGGTTTACAGTAGCGCTTAAGGGTCAAAAAAAGGCTCTAAATTTTTCAAAGATTGCAATTTATGATGTGTTGAATTTATTTAATATTCTTAAACTAATATTTTCATTCTATTAGAAAACTGTAAAATGAAGAACGTTAAAATAATGTATATGGGCGGTGATAGATAGCAGCTGGAGAAAGGATGGGGCAAATCCGAATAGCTAGCCGAGACCAAAGGAAATTGAAAACTAATATGGGGAAGTCTGTGCCACTCTGTAGCACCACTAGTTTGATAATGTCCCAGGGCCCGCATGTAAAGTACCCACATAATTAAAAATATTGTGTTCAAGTTCAAGGATTTGCGACATCAATCAGATCGATTACGGAGAAGATCGTCTGAACGGCTTGGCCGCTAGTGTTTTTAACAGACACGTTTTGCCGCAAATCAATTTTCCTGTATCAAGGACCCACAAAACATGGATTCTAGCTACACCATGTACTAGAGGAATTCATTTTCTATACTTAGCTAGTGGATTTATCCAGTTTCGTTTCCGCGACCCGACATGTTTTAGGGGTCGAAACTTCGCCGTTTTACCCTGTGGAATTAGATAGCTTTTACTGTACTGCGTAAACAGCAGTGAGAATGTAATAACTAGAAAATCTATTACCATCAATAACATTGCATTTTTATTTATTTACTTATTGAGGTTGAGTGGCCTTTTAAATACTATGATCATAGGAGCTCGTGAATTTTGGTCTAATGAGTAGATGGTAGTGATAGCGAGCTGAACACTAGACAGGGATGTCGGAGCGAACCAAGAAAAGTCTGCATATTTTGCCCATTACAATTTCAAACTGTATTGATTGGCGATCGAGTCTGGATCCCAGATTTGCAAGATGTATTTAAATTGTTTATAAAATTTGTAGGTATTATTCAGAAGAAACAGAGTTATCTTCTACAACTTTTTATTTTCAATCTACTAGCATTTTGTACTTCAAAATTAAAAATTCAACTTCACTTATAATTACATGATCAATTTTCCATTTGCATTTTTCAGTGGATGGTTTTCTACTAGCCAATTTAATAATGAAGAGGTCTTAATAATATGAACTTACAGGAAAATACTTCTCTGTTTATCACCATTTTACTATAAATCTAGATTTTAATTTGACTGTAAGAAATCACAAATGACATGTTAATATGACGCATGTAGATACATATTTATATACACAAATGATTGGAACATTTTCAACTTAGTCAGTCAGTGCCCATATGACAACACAAATAAAAAACAAAGAACTACACAAATTTAAATACAAATATTGCATGTCTATATACATTTTGCTACTAAGTTTCACACTGAAATAAAGCGTATTTCATACAGGACATCTGACGAAGACATATATTTCTTATCTTTCAATAGGTCTCAGTTCTTTAATACTTTACAAGTTATAAAAATTATTCCACAAGGTCATAATCTTCCTCATCATCCTCCCTCTTCCGCTTATTGGCACCGCCAAGACTGTCCTCCGAATCCATGCGCATCGAAATGTTGGGAGCAGGACTGGATGATGGGCTTGCTGCTGACACTGATGGAGTTGGAGCAGATGAGATCTGTATCTTTGGTTTCACAATTGTTTTCTGCATTTGAGTTGGTGCTGAAGATGGAGCTGATGTTGGAGCTGAAAATAAATAAATAAATAAAACAAAAAATTCAGAAAAGAAGTTAAGTGGATATATATACAGCAAAATAAGAGTGTATAATAAATCATTATTCGTTAAGTGAGCATTAATATACATCAATCACAATACAAGTACAAAGTGGCAGAAAGAATACCTGACAGCTTTACAAGCCAGATATTAAGAAAATACAATTTGTGGAATAATTACCAGATGAAAACTTTATCACAGGTTTTGGGCCTGTAATGGCTTGTGTTCTAGATACAGTAGCCAGAGTTGTGGGTCGTTTCACAATCGATAATCCTTGACCTTGTTTGCCAGGCAATTTAAGATTTCCAGATCCAGCAACACTTGTGGTGACAGAATTACTCAAAAAGTTTGAAGCATTACTTAAACTGCTGCCAATGTTCACAGCCTGCTTATTTGGTGGCTAAAAATAGAAATTACTTTAAATTTACAAAAAGGAAACAAATTGAAACCCTATATAAATTTATTGTAGTTTGCACAATAGCTATAAACATGTCTTTACCAGCATATTAAATTAGTTATTTTAATTTATAATTCATGTATACAATTCTCTTTCAATTCTTAGCTTTGATAACATATAATGCTGAGATAAATATCAGATCAGATAAATATTCGTAATACATTATCAAACACATTAAGTTTTGATATCAAGTAGCAAGTACTTAAATATTACCTTCTTCAAATCATTCTTAAGCCTGTAGTTACAAGCTGAGAGACAGTAACGATCTGGTGGTAAACGAAGACCACAGTGAGGTTTCACAAAAGGAAGTGGAGTATTGTTTTTTGATCTCGCCACATCTAAAAGAATCTGTGAAAATAAATATTCAGGTTAAGTCATCAGATAAGTGGTCTGTATACCTAGCAAACATCACTAATATTTACATCTCTTGGAGGTGGAGTGGTAAATATCCTATCAGTTGTCATCTCTACAGCCAGTCTAACATCTTCCAAGTCAATGGTTTTCTTCTTAGCATGATTTGCAAACACACGAGAATCATCTAATATTCCAGTAACGTAACCTGCAGACCAAATACACGGTGTTATTCGTCTGCATGAAAATCCCAACCTCAACCCTCTCAACATAACATTCAACATACATCACAAACACATTTCTGAGCCACAAAAAATATACATACGGTAGGTGAATTCTAAAAGTTGAGCGATCACTTTCGGTTCGTATTCTGTGATGCCCATGTCTTTCATTATCGATATTATAACTTGGGCGTCCTTCGGATAATGTTTCTGCTGCGCAGCCATATTGAATCAACTATAAAGCTATGTGAAGCCATCAAAGTACCAAAGAAATTTAATACTTTCATGATTCAACATCGTTTCCTGCAATTTTTCCGCAACTCGCGTATGACTCCCCATCATTTCTACGCAATATTGCCACAATCTGACAAAGGAATCACAAACCATTCAAACAAAGCAATTATTCTTCTAGTTTTCCACAATAAACAACTTGTTTAGGTAACGCACACTATTGCATAACCGGTTTGAAGGAACCTGCTGCCTGGCGTCAGTCAGGAGAAGTTAGACAGGTTTAGAAAGCGGTGGCTGAGGTGTATGTTCTGAGATTCTGAATCACTTCGAATTCAGTTTCTGACGTGTGGTGTTCCGAATAGGTTATCAAACACTTGGTGCATAAACTACAGTGTTAACCATGTACATTACATCGGCAGGTGCGATCTTAATTATTAATTACGAATTCTTTTTGTTTATCTGCTCAATATTTCATTTTCAGAGTTTTTGGTAATACCTTCTGTTAGAATTATTGTACTTTGGTTGTGCAAGTCATTGTAAGGTTCGAATAGTTTGTAGGTTAGGTTATTCAAACTAGCAGTAAAGTACAAAATATTGTAATTTTTATTATTAAGAATTTTCATTGATGTTAAATTTTTTTTCAGCGGGGATTATATCCCTATTGGAGGAACCTATGCCAGAACTAAAAGTTTTCGCATTGAAAAAGTTAGACGCTATTGTCGACGAATTTTGGCCAGAAATATCTGAAGCAATTGAAAAAATGTGAGTGACCAATTCTTGTCATGAAAACATGCTGTGTAGCAAATTTTAAACATGTTAAAATACATTGCAATTTATATATTTCTAGTGAAATACTTCATGAAGATAAAGCTTTCACACAGCATGAGTTAGCAGCACTGGTTGCAAGCAAAGTGTACTACCATCTAGGATCTTTTGAAGATTCATTAACTTATGCCCTGGGAGCTGGTAATTTATTTGATGTTAATGCTCGCACAGAATATGTTGACACCACAATTGGTAAGTATTTTTGTTGCATTACGAAAGAGGTAATGTTACCCTCATTTACTCTTTAATATTTCATTATTTCAACTTTTATTTTATTAATATTTGTGTTTCAATCTGTCTTGCAGCAAAGTGCATTGATTATTATACTCAGTTGAGGTGTGCCAAGGTAGAAAATCCAACTGAAGCTAAAGAGATAGATCCTCGATTGGAGGCAATTGTGGATCGCATGTTCCAAAGGTGCCTTGCTGATGGCCAGTACAGGCAGGCATTAGGTCTTGCCTTGGAAACACGGCGAATGGACATATTTGAACGAGCCATTAGAGAATCTGTACGTATTATAAAAAAATTTTAATGATATATTTTGTTTGTATTTTATAGATCATTCAACTCATAGTGTGCTTTTGTTATTGTAGGAAGATGTTAATGCTATGCTATCGTATGCATTTCAAGTTGCAATGAGTCTCATTCAAAATCGTGGCTTCCGAAATGAAGTTTTGCGCTCGTTAGTTGGTTTGTATCGGAATCTGGCAACACCAGATTATGTGAACATGTGCCAGTGTCTCATTTTTTTGGATGATCCTCTGGCTGTAGCTCAAGTTTTGGAAAAACTTAGCAAGGATACAGAGGTAAATTCTATGATATTTTTGAGTGGTATTTTAAATATTTATTTTTTCATGTATATTCTTGTTGCTAAATGATAAGAAAAGTTTTTCTCATTGGACGTTAAATGTCCAAATGCTTGAAGAGGCTGTTTTTATTCCAAATCTTCTTCGCTGACAATTTTTTTTGGGTTGAAGGAAAGGATTATTACTAGAATATTTAGTGGGAAAATTACTAATGTTTATAATTACTGAATAATGCTGTAAAGAAAAGTATATTAGTAGATATCTGAATATAGTTATTAACTAAGTGTCCTGTGAATGCAGTTGATGTAATAATTTAATTCTAAGTGACAAATCATTGTTCACAGAATTTACATGAAAAGAAATAACACAATATATTATTATTAAGAAATAAATTGCTATTATATGTTGTTTCTGTCGAAATTTAGGTTAAATATCAGAATACGAGTATGCTTTTATATACAAACCCCTTGTTTGTGAGAAATGAAATGTCTTAACTATTCATTGTGGTGTAGTTTGAAGTTATTTATATTGTTTTAAATATTTGTTTATTTAGGATAGTGCTCTCATGGCATATCAGATTGCTTTTGACCTGTATGAGAGTGCTACCCAACAGTTTTTGGGCAGAGTTCTGCAGGCTCTTCCAGCATGTCCTACCACAGCCACAACTCCAGTGGCTGCAACTACTGCCAGTACACCAGAGAAAGTGGAAACAGATGCGAAACAGGGTTCAGCGGAAGTGTCAAAACCAGAAGTTATTGCTCCTCCGCAAATGGTAGTGGTTGAAACTGCTGCAGCGCCTTCCACTCCTGTTGCAGCTGCAGAGGTGAAGCAAGAGCCAATTGTAAGTTTATTTAATCAACTCAATGAAAATGCATGTTTATAATGATTGAGATTTCTATGTGGAGTCAAAATTCCGTTTTTCTCCTAACATCTTTGATTTTTGTAAAGATTTAAATTTCAAAATTTGTATAAGAAAGGGAAAATGCAATTATGACTGGAAGATGTTTGTATAACATTTATGTGATATTAATTTTTTTTCCTAGTGAATTCTGTTTAGTTAAAATTTATCTTTTGTAAGTTGACCTTTCTAAGACATTCGTGATATGAGTGTTGTATTAAATAAATTACTCTCTTTAGTATTTTGACATTTTATTTTTACTGTTTAACGAACTTTATACTAGGTTGATAACTTGTTACAGAGTGAAGAAGACAAAATGCAGCAGGAAAGAGTGGAGAAACTTGCCAGTATTCTGTCTGGGAAAGTGACAATAGACTTGCATCTTCAGTTCCTCATTCGAAGCAATCACTCAGACATGCTCATTCTGAAGAACACAAAAGATGCCATCAGAGTCTCAATCTGCCACACAGCCACTGTGATAGCAAATGCTTATATGCATAGTGGTACGACATCTGATCAGTTCTTGAGGTAGGGAAGAGTACATTAACATGTCATTATCTCATATCAAATATTAATGTGAACATTTTTGAGTGATATGTCAACAACTATGTGCTGTTTGCAGCACCACTAGTTCTCTTAGGAGTGCTGAGTTTCAACTAACTATCTTCGAGAAATTTTATTCAATCTGATTGTTTTAAAATGACTTCTTATTATTTATTTATTTTTTTATATCCTCATGAGGAGTAATTATTTAGACATGTTCATTCTCAACAAAACAAAAGATGCCATTAGAGTTTTTGTTGCATAGTATCTATTTTACTGATACATTATTATAAAACTTAGTACATCTTAAAAAATCTGCTTATTCGCAGTGGTATAAGCAGATTTTTTCATTTTGCATATTGAAAATTCATTTCTTTGTTGGATCTCTCCTTTGTTTATTGAATTGTGGAAATGTGGTGTAATTGCAGAGACAATCTGGAGTGGCTGGCTCGTGCTACCAACTGGGCAAAGATGACTGCGACAGCGTCTCTGGGTGTGATCCACCGTGGCCATGAGCAGGAAGCATTGGCGTTGATGCAGAGCTATCTTCCGAAGGAGGTTGGCCCCAGTTCCGGTTACTCTGAGGGCGGCGGCCTGTATGCCTTGGGCCTCATTCATGCCAACCATGGTGGCCACATCATTGACTACCTGCTGCAGCAGCTTAAAGATGCCCAAAATGAGGTGAGTGCACTTCATGGTGTACAATTTAACTTTATATTATTTTATACAATATTATTTTCTTATGTGTGTCTAAACCTTTGTGGTGGAGTCCTGTTTTCATTAGAGTAATTCATTTTTAACAAGAAAATAATTGTCTTGTCGTTCTAAGTTTTTTACAATTGAGTTGATTACTTTGTAACACATGTCCCAAGCAATATTTATTTTCTATTAATTTTTACTTCTATAATACATTAGAATTCTAAAATTCTGGAAATTGTCATTGGATCTCAAGGCTGATATTTTGAGAAATAGGGTTTTTAAATCTTGCACTCAGATTAAAACATAAGATGAATTGGCAGTAATCGGCTGAGATGAAGATATACAATGGATAGCTTTGTTACAATTTAATTGTTTATATTACAGATTCTGATGAGATAATGAATCCCAGCTGATCAAAAGTCAATTTGGCATAGTACAAAGATGATTTTACATTAAGAAATATTTTATTGGTCAATTTCATATTCAGTAATTCCTTCAGGATGATTTTTTGTACTGATGTTCTTGTTTTAACTTTTGTGTGCTTCTGTATGATTTCTATGAATAATTTTTTGATTGTTTTGTTTAGTATCATGTAGGAAGAGATGAGTAAGATTTGAAGTGAAGACATATCCTTTCTGTGGGATATTAAATATTTGTTGGTGTTCGAATGGTATTAGGATGTTTTTATTTGCGTCACTGTTGAGGAAATTCCAATACACACATTATTGTATGGTATTATATAGAGTATTGAGATAATAATTCACATTGGATTTGAGTACTGTAATATCATTAGTAGCACTTTGCAATTGTTTTAGGCCCTTGTTTGACTTCCATTTTTGTAATAATTTATGAGAATTCCTAAGATTTGCCTTCCTTCTCAATCAATAACAGCCATTTGCCTGATCTATATGCCCCATATTAGTTTTGTGCCCTTTTTCAGAAGGAAAACTATCTTAGTCATATGTGATTTTGATGTGTAATAATTTATTCTTACGTTGGAGAGAAGTGTAGATTGATGCAGTTATGATTTTGGTGTACATTCAAGTCTGCATGAAATGTAATAAAAAGTTTTTTATTAAAAATAGTTTTAGAATAGAACAGTATTCTTTTTCATTCAGTGATGAATAATTCCTTAAAGTGACTGGTTTCTAAATGGCTAACTAATGAACTGCTTCTCAGAACTGAACAAGAAATGAATGTGTTTCCTTCTTGTAGAGGCAACTTTTGGTTTATCAAATGTACGTCAGTGTAGAACATAATAATATTCCTGATATTCTTGTATGCTTTTGAGAGCAAAGCAGACATAGTGAAGGTATTTTTGTAATTAAATCAATTTTCTAGGAATACTTGCATATTTTGTCCTTTAGTATTTTCTAGCCAACTTATAAGAGTAAAAATTCTGAATTTGCATTGTGAAACTGCTTGTGTACTTCGAAAGAAAAGTCATATTTGCAATATAATTTTACTGGAAATGCTTCATTTTAGAAAAAAAATATTGTTGTAATTGAGTTGTATTGGATTTGATTGTAAATATGTGCATAAATTGTGCTTAATTGGTTACCAATTAATCAGAATTGTACTTTTCATCTGCACAGAGAAGTTTATTTTGTCAGTGTGATCATATGAATCGGAGCTTTTCATGGTGGCCTTGTACTTGTTTTTCCATTTTACTGGCACTGTTAACATTTGCATTCTTTTTTCTTTTATTAATTGCATTTCTTGTGCCAATTCCACTGGGAACATTGTTCCTTGTTACATATTGATATGTTAGCCCTCTGAGTACCACAGACTAGCGGGAACGTAAAATACAATAGAGGGCCTTTTGAAACTGAACTGAGAAATCTTTTTAGTTGGCATTTGTTGGTCGATAGGAAAAAAGTTCACATTGTGTTTATACTTGTTAGATGCATAATATTATCATCAAACAAAACCAAGCATTTTATTCTGAGAAAGTTACAGAAAATACCATGGGGGTCTTGCAAGGACCCCAAACACATTTTTTAGTAATCGTTACATAATGTTAGGCATATATAATTGTATTCAATGAAAATGAAATGAGATAAAAAAGTCATTGAGCTACAATTAAATCTGCTCATTAAATTTTCCAAGGGACTGGGGTTGTCAACAACCCCATGGCACTAAGAGGGTTAGCAATGATTGTGTGATGTTAAAAATGTGAATAGATTTAAATCTTACTCTGAATTTGTGACTTTTAGCCACTTTGTTTGTCAGAATTGCAGCTTCATTTTCATAGAAATATTCTGTTTTCCATTATTTCATTATTTTATAATTTTCAAGGAAGTTTTCAGGCAGGTATTTTGTTTTTGGAAGTCTTTTTGATATGTTTTGTGAATGTGAATTGTAAATGTTTTGTAACTTGAAGTTATTTTGAGGTGCATTGTGTGACTTTATCAACTAGGTGATTATTTTTCTTTTATTAAGTTGTCGTGGGACAGAATGTTGTTTGTGTTGTAGTAGTTTCTTGCTTTCAGTGTTGATTGTTGGTGTTGTCATTGAACGTCTGGTAGTCTTTTGCAACCCAACCATATATTTGCCTAACTGACCATTCTCCTCCGAATTGCACAGTCATGTAATCTAATTTGGTTCTCTCTGTTGACCTATGAATAAAAAATGACTGTGCTTAAGTGTTGGGGGTGAAATTGCTATTTTTGTTGGTGTACTCTGTGGAATGTCACTTTGGGTTACACTGTATTACGCTTTGTGGTAACTGGATTAAAGTAGATAGAATATCTTTTTAAACTGTAAGAAATTGATTTAAAATAGACTTTAGAAAATGCATTATGTTTGAATTGTTGTACTAATACGCAGTGGAAAATAGGATCACAGTAAATTATGTCGGACTTTTTCACTGTTGCTACCCAAAAGGTGTGGAGTTGAAATGTAGATTGCCGTGTCTGCTTAACTTTCTGTTCCTCTCTTCTGAGTGTGAGAACAAATTCTCTGATGAAATGATTAGGGAAAAAGTTGTGTTAAAGGCTGTAATTGGGAAAGAGAGAATGCCTGCTGTAAATATTCATTGACAAGAGCTTTGAAAATAACGTGGAAGTAGTTTTTATCTTTTGAAAACAAAGAATCAAGTATATTTATGTTTAAACTTGCATTAATAGATGTATTGTATGCAGAATACTTTAGATTTTAAGACAGATGACACTAAAATAAAATATGTAGAAAGAGAAACCAGTTAAGAGTTGATTCCTAAATGTAGGCTGTAACAGAAGTTTTTGCCATTGTGCTTTTGTGGAGGAATTAGTAGTACCTGAGAATCTTGAGGAATACCATATTAAGGAAGGAATGAAGTTGACCAATTTTAATAGTCATTAAAGGTGAATATTCACTAATTTTTTTCTCTCTCTGGAATATATGATGCATTACTGTTTTGCACAGCTGAGGATTCATGGGAAAAAAGTGCATATTACATTTAGAAAGAAACGACGCTCTCTCTTTTGTTTTCTCTTCATTCTTCTTCTTCTCCTTCTTTATCTTTTCTTTTTCTTCTTTTTTCCTTCTTTTTCTTCTTCTGCTCCTCCTTCTTCTTCTCCTCCTTCTTTTATTTCTTCTTATTCTTTTCCTCTTTTTCTCACAGAGACTTAGCTACTGTGGTTTGTGATCTAAACTCCTAGTTTTCTAGGAATCAGGACCTTGTGTTTCTTGTGAACTTTTCTGCTGGGGAGAAGTTCAGTGGTTCTCAATTTTCTGATTGTTTTCTTACTATGGGTAATGTGAGTTGTGGTTTTGAAATGTTTAGATGGTGCGTCACGGTGGCTGCTTGGGGCTGGGGCTGGCGGCAATGGGCACTAACCGCCAGGATGTGTACGAACAGCTCAAATTCAACTTGTACCAAGATGATGCTGTCACTGGAGAGGCGGCAGGCATCGCCATGGGCATGGTGATGCTGGGCTCCAAGGCGACACAGGCCATCGAAGACATGGTGGCGGTGAGTGGCTTTTCTGGCTTTTGTCTTTTCTTTTTCGAAAAAAACAGCAAGACCTTTCAATCTTTTGAAGACACTAGAAGTTTTGCTTTTTACCATTTTCTGTCATTGAATGTAAAACAATAAAATTGTCATAATTGTTGATTCTGGGAATGATAATAGATAAATGTCTTTAAGTGAGTTTAAATGAGATGAGAATAATTTCATACTTTTTGTCAAGGTAAAAACATTTGTAGAGAGAAATAGTTTGGGCTTATTTTCTTTTTATTTAAAGTGAAGATTTTCAATTTGGTGGGCTTATTAATGGATTTAACACATATCAATGTAACTTATATTTCAATAATTGATCATTTGTGGGAAGAACATGAAGTAAGATTTAACAATTTGCAATGAGGAGCTTGAAGGATCAAAGTGATAAAAAGATGGTCTCATTTCATGAAAAGTCTGCTTGTTGCTGTACAGTGGAATGGGATTAATGGATGTGGTGCAAGTGATGGAGTAGGCATTTAAAGTGATGTATTGGATGTTCTGAGAATGAATTGTGCTGTAGGGGGATTATAATGAAGGTAGGACTTTTACACAGCCCTGTTGGGAAAGTTTTAGCAATGTCTTTTTCTTTCTGGGCAGGAGATCATGAAGTGATGTATTGTGAGAGACAGTTAAATTTGATGTGCTCCAACTTAAACTGCGCTTTCCATAGTTTATGGGTGATATAATTCTGTTCTGGTTTCTTAAAATACCTTTAATTTATTACCAGGCTGTTTATATCTTTGAAGTCCATCAAAAAAGTAAATGAACTTACAAATACAAATTGACGTTCTAGAAGGTGGATTCATTTAAAATGAACTGTGGATATGATTCGTTGATTTTCTGTAAGAAGTGTTTTATAGTATTGTTGAGATTGAAGGTCATATTTACCCATGTGTTCCCTTTTTCTTGAAATCAGTTAATCTTATTGAGTGTATAGAGTGGTTGAAAAAAAAAAAAAAAAGTTTCGTGTAACATTCCATTTTCTTTGCTTCTACCTGTCAAGGCAGTTTGTGCCCCATCCAAAATGAAATTGTTGACTAGATTTGACAACATAAAAATGCAATTTTAACTCCAACATGACCGTTGACAATAATTGTGAAAATAAACACAAAGACATCCACTTCTCTCAATAATTACGAATCGACCCAGTAAACAATTCTGCCTACATACGAACGAAAAGAGGTGAATGGACGCGATTATGATGCGACAAATGTGGTTTTGTAAAGCGTTTCAATAATAAATGATGACGCTAGACAATAAAATTTACGATCTTACAAACTGGTTTGCCTTCTTAGAAAATACGTTCCTCGGGTATTGCTGCAGCACACTGTAGCGAGTGGTTCTGCAATCACGTCAACGCGTGAACCTGACAGTGGAGTGGGTCACTTGAGCGTGTTGTGTTCGTGTGCGTCCGCGTTCGCCGTTCCGAAGGCAGCGAGTGCGTGCGTTTCCGAGCGACTGAGCGTTAAGACGTGGGATGGGAGGGGGGGGGGTCCCCAGTGCAGTCTCTACAGCGCCTGCACCTGCGGCCTGCCCACGCCCGCGCCCTCGCCTCGCCCTCGCTGCGCGTGATTAATAGGGCCGCTGATTGGACGGCGCGGTCGCGCCTCCGCCTCCGTCTGCGCCGCCGGCAGCCTGGGGCCGGGGGCGGGGGCGTAACGAGTTCTCGCTGACGATGGCCCGCCGATCGCGCCCGCCACCCCCCCGCCCCGCCTCTGCGTATGTGCCGGCGCCAGGGCAAGGTGATGTCTGCGGGGGCGACGCAACAGGCCGAGGCAGCTCCTAAACCGCCTTCAGCGGAGGGGGTGTAACGCAGTGACGGCATGCAAACGGATGTTCTGCAATAGAGTTGTGATAAAGTCTGTAATAAAGGAATCGTAATGTGGAAACGGAGCATATTATTCGAGTTGATAACCATCATTTTGTATGCGCTCTGTCAGCTGGTAGAACGCTGGAAATCTCTGAATGTTCCTCGTAAACTGGGACGCGATGGAATCAGACTTGCATATTCTCGGGATGAGCTCGTGTTGAGAAGCTTGGGACAATGTCCAGTGAGTTCTTACCGCTGCATTTGAATAACGGTTATCTGTTCTTTTTATCCTATTGTTTACTTTGAATTGGTGTGAACTGATGTAGTGTGGCCGGCGGTCCTGGAATCTTTTAAAACCGGGTAAAAACGAACATTTGAAAAATGCTGAAAACTGGGCGAAGAAATCTGGATGTTTTTCCTCGTTATTTTCACATTGAGTGCCAACGTTTACCACCAATTTACATCCGTCATACCATTCAGTAGATTGCTGATTCAACTCGGTACTTGATGGTGAGTGTTAAAATCAAAGAATACAACAAAAAGGTGGGTTTTAGGACTGTGAAGTCTTCGCATCCTCTCGACTTCAAGTGCTGTCGCGTGCGTAGGGACATCGTGGGTAGTAGCCGACCCCACAGAGCGCCCATATAGTTGTGTAGAGGTTTGCACGGGCGCACACGAGGTATTCCCGGAGAAAGGTCTCGCCAGGCACAGGCGTTGATTTTGTTTTTTCCCTCGTGTAGAGGGAAGCTACAGTGTCAGGTTACAATATGCGGTTCCGCATTGGCTTCTGAAAACTGATGAGATAATCTATATTTCAAGTAGATTGGTATTGTTTGTCACTTTAAGAAGAAATAAATTTTTCTGTTTCGATGGCCGTCAATGTTACTTCTACAGCTGACTTCACGAATGTCAATAAGTAGCTTTGATGAACTCAAAACTCGTGTTGTCTTGGTTAGGGTGTATCAAGCGCGTGCATTGTACACTTTCGTTGACTTAGTTAATTTTCTCCTTTTCCGTTTAAGTGGCGCGTGTGTGAGAAGGTGTGAGATAATTTTGAAGCTTCACTTGTGGATATTGCGTTGTACAGAACGTCTCGTCGCTTCTGTCATTCTGGTTATGGTCTAAGACACACACCCCGCAATACGAACACCTCGCGCGAGTGAACAGCCTACGCGAGTAGCGTGGTGTAAAGCGAGGTCTCTGACCTAAATCGCGGCCGGGGAGCTTCTCGCTTTAAATTCAATTAGCGGGATAAAAACCGCGAGTCGCGACGCCAAGCCGTTTGTCACCGCGCTTTGCCCCCCCCCCACACACACACACACACCAATTCACGCGCCGGTTTCCTCTCTTTTTTTGTCGCGTCGGATCAAATGAGGCATGTATCGCGCACTGTCGCGATTCCCGAGCGTCCCGTCCCCCCTCACACCCTCTCCTCTGACGTCGCCTGCCCTCACCTCGGCCCCTTGCCTCATCGCCTGCCCTCGCCACGTCACGCCGGTGGGTATTAACACGTAAATAATTAAATACAAAAATATTTTGTAGTTAAAATTACAATTTTAATGTTGACGGCCCATCATTTACATGAAAACACGGTGTTTCTCTTTGCCAGTGTTGAAGACAACGTCCCTGGAATTGGTGATTTCTTTTTCCCGATCGCCCGTCTGCTGTTAGGTGCGTGCTCTTGACCTCCTCGCCGCCTGCGGTGAAAACGTACAATTGCGTGGGCGTGACGGGCAGACGCCGCGCGGGGCGGGACGGGACGGGCTTCGCTCATTCGCCGCGGGGCGCGCTTGACAGGCATTATGGCGGCTTCATCGAACACAAGCCGACGCGACACGACGCCGGGGTTTTATTCAATAGCTTTTATTCCCGAGCGCTTTGTGGGCGTTTGCGCCTGTTTTTCTCCCTTTCCGTGCCCGGCCCCTCCTCTCTCCCCCGCCGCTGCAAAAGCGCCATTTGTACTAATTTGCGTGTTATCTGCCGTGTGGTATATTACATTTGACGCAATTGTCAAGGGATTAATTCGACGCGGCGCTTGCTTCCGGAGGCTGGAAGAGGCGGAGCGAAGCGGGAGTGTGAAGGAAAGCGAAGTGTTATTTCTGAGAAAAGCCTCGGGCGAGGGCAGCGCGGGAGTGGGGCTGACCTGGCCTGGGAGGGCGCGAGGCCACGATGAGAGCAAGTGGCACTTCCTCGCCTGGCAGATTATATATATATATATATATATATATATATATATATATATATATATATATATATATATAATGTCAAAAACTGTTAGACACTGTATGTAACGATTAGGGCTCCAAAATCCCAACCCCACAGCTTCACTGTACATGGATGAATAATCGAGAAAGGTGCAGTGAACGGTACGTGTTGTGCGAGATGGACGAGTCGTACAAGATTGTTTTTTCTTTCAAGATAATTGTGGAAGTTACGATGCATCTAATTTTTTTGTTATGTTGATTTATCTCTGGGAGGAAACCTTTATATTGTCATTCCTCTATTCAGTGGAGGAAAATGGAAATATGCGAGTTGCCGGGGCTTGCGCGCCTCGTTCCCTTACCGGTTATTGCGAAAGGAGTTTTATAATTGTGAAAAGAGGGCTTGGAATTGGCTATTCTCAGTGCGTGGTCTATGTATCGTATGGCGCTTTGTCACAAAACCCAATTTTTTTTGTCATTATCGATGCAATTTCCCTTCCTTGTTGGTGAATTTATGTTTGTGTTTGATCAGAGACGGTTTAAAGTGGTTTGAAACTTGTGTTTGTTAAAAAATATTTAGTTCTGTGTGTTTGCGATTTTGTAGTTTTCTTTATGAACATTTCTCTTATTTACCATCGAATTATGATTCTCACTGTCTAATTAATTTCCATTTTCCAACCATCCAAACTATAAGCATTTGGATAAAAAAAATACCCATTTCACAGGAATTGTTCATTTACCAGAGCATGTAATGAATGTTTTAAGAGTTGTGCTCCAATGTTTGTAAACTCTGGATTTTCATTTTGTTGCACACTATTTACGGTCCGACGTGACATCAAGGTTATTTTAACAGATTTGAAGCAGCGTTGAATGTTTTTGGCGATTTTATATTCACATTTGAAATATATATCAGCGTACATGAAATATTATTCGTATAGATAAAATATGAAAGAACTGACAGG